TCATTCTATAGCTGTCATTACTTTTGGAGTATTACAGACTCAGATCGCTTTCGTTTCCTTCCACTCAACCATAAGATGACTATTACAAGAACTTACCCGAAGGCAAGCTTGGAACCATAAGAAGTGAAACCACTGTCATGCAGAGTAACGATATGACCACATTGAAAACCATAGCGGGTAAAATAATAAGGTACTGATCAGCGAATGGGAAAGCCTGAAAAGGAGCTGCATATTCGAGTTTTCATATTCGCTTCTATCCCACCTCGTAGAAAACTTCTACATGGAATGGCTGTGAATCAGCAATTTCCCGCATTAGTTTTGCTGCCAACTTATGTTGATTTGGCTCCACGATGTTCTTCATGGCAATCTTAATTCAAATCTAAGAGTGTGTTAAGTAGTGCGAGCTTGTAAAAGTCATACATAGAATCGAAACGCCTCTATAGCATTAGTGGTTTCGTTAAATTTGATATCACTGGCCCACTGCGATGAACCTCCAGTATATTTCAGCCAGGACCTAGACAGAAACGATGCTATACATGAGAAGAAATCATTATTTTACGAAGTAGAAAGATTCACCTTAATTTATAATGCCAAAGTTTTGCCGTATCCTCTAGCTCTACATTCAGTTGATCAAGGTAGTTAAGATATTCGAGCAGAAAAAATACGGTACCCTCCCTACCAAGGGAATACTCGGTGTTCTCAAATGCTGCAGCAGTGGACAACAGTTGTCTTCTTCAAATATGGATGATTTGATGATTGAATTTGACTGGATGCTGAAGCTAACCTCGTTTTTGAGCTGATGAGATCGGGAGGGTTGAGGATGGCGACGTGAAGCTGGGGTCCCGACTTCCAGAACGACTTTATGTCTTCGAAGTACTGCGAGATGTAGTGGTCCTTCGTCACGAGGTTGCCGGGATTCAAGCCTTCTCGAAAATTTACGCAACCTGAATAGTTTGCTTGATTACGTTGGGTTAACATTGGGTATGGTTACTCACCATAGTAAGCGCCAGAGATGTAAACAAGAAACAGAAGTCCAGCTATGGCTCGTACGGGATTCGTAAGTATGAATGGTCCATACGTCTCTCCGAGCCACTTCACAATTCCACTTGGTTCCTAAAACGCTCTTATGAAATCTTCACGGATACTGCAGTGGATAACTGCTAACCTTGTCGTTCCCCGTTTGCACTACATGCTGGTATGCCGGCGGAGGGGTAGCTGGGACTAAACAGCAAATCATTAGTAGCTTTCAAACCATATTCTTTTGTTCGCGCTTAGCAAAAAAATACATTTCAATATTCTTTGCGAATCTTGCTTTCCGTTCAATACAACGGTTTATGTCT